GAATAATAGGAAAGCATGTATTGCAAAATCATAATTAAAATTCTTAGATAATCTTCTGATATCTACCAAATTAGATATCTTGAAATACTCAAACATCCTTGAGATCTAGAACTTGATATTTACTATTTACAGTATAGATTTGCTATTAAGGTACAAGGTAAACAACATGAGTAACATATAAATACTTAAGGAAGTCTTTAAGAAGTAGTACTCAAAAAAGAACTTTGTGAAGAGAATCAAAATATTTTAAAATATATTTGGTATTACGAGAATCTATATGTAGTCATCCTAAATATCTTTAAGAGTTAAGTCTCATTGAATAAACTTAAAAATTTTAATTGCTTTTGCGAATTCACTATCATATTTTTGAATCTAAAATTACACGAAAAAATTTCTTAGATACACACTACATTATATAATCATGAACCCAAAGTGAACAACCAAACAAATTATTAATTTAATTTTGCTTGTTTATAAAGTGAAGCTATACTAATACCTACGAATATAACAGTTTTTCATATGTCTAATCTATATTAAGACAATTATCCCAACAAACATTAACTCTATAATTAATATTCTAAATAGAAAAAGATATATCATCAGTTTTACGAGACACGAAAATGCCTTATCTCTTCATTAGCATTGTTTTAGCTTTTTTTTAAGTTATGTCTGTTAAGTCATACAGATAACATACTTAGTCAACCATGATCGAAAATTACTAATAAATACTTAGAGAATTTAACTTAAAAGATGATTAACATAGTTTAATATTAAAACTTTTTTTTTTAACAAATTTTTTAATAGATTAAATTTTTCGAAGTATCTTATTATTCTGAGATTTAGTAACTAATTATTATTACATAATAAATTGATCTGTATTACTAATAAATTTTTTTCTGTATAATATTTACATAAAGAGTCATACAATAATCAAAATCTTAATTTTATGATTACTTAACTTTCTTATTGAGAAGAACTCATTAAATTAATACTTCTAATGCTATTCAGATAAATAGATTTGTTAAATCATTCAGTTATTTTTTCTAAAATTATATAAGACCTGTAGATGTATACCATACGAATCTATGAGCAAGAAAATAATGTGTAATCATTTTCTACTAATACTAATTATTATGGTAATATATCTCTATATACCTTTTATATCATACTTCCTATCAGAAACGTGACTTTAGATAATCTGGTAGCATTTCTTATATAAAGTTAGAGTATTTACATGAATGGATCAGGAAGAAGGGAAGAAAAAAAAAGTACAACCTATACATACTAAATCTTACTTATTCAACACAGAATTACAAGATCACAGAATTTATATATAAAATAGCAGTTCACTTAACACTACAATTAGAAATAACAAAAAAGCTATTGAAAAAAATGCAAAGAGAGCAAGAAGTAAAAAAGATGCAGTTATTACTAGCAATAATAAGAAAAATGCTAAAAGAAATGAAATTGAAGATAGTAATGTTAAGGGTGAATCAGATGTAAATATATTAATAAGCGAATATTACCCTAACATTGAAAGAATCAAAAACATATATGCATCTTTAAGGCAATTGCGTAGAATCTGTCTATAGGAAATATTGTATGAACCAAGTGTAGATTTGTTCAATCAAACAATAACATTAAAAGATGCGAAAGTATTGATCTTATATATCATATGTCAGAGGTAATGAGCTCGATGAATCTTATGTGTTTCACAAAATTTACCTATGGTAGTCAAAATAATTGCTAATAAAATAGATTATTATTGTATTGCAAACGTTCTTCAAATTATATTATGCAAAGAAACAGAAAATAATTATTATCTGGATAAGATTCATGAGTTTGGTTTTACCCACATCATCATTATTAGAACGCTTTTTACAGAATAATTTTCTTAGATTATTACGGTCGCATCTTTAACTTAGATATAATGTCTGAAGTGTTGTGGTCAGTTGAAAATTCTTTAGTAGAGGCAGCAACAAAACCCTAGACTGGTGAGGTAGTATAGGATATTGATGATGATTAGACTGTTTTTGAAATCAAAAATAGTATGTATGCAATTTTTGATTATTTTTTTTTACCATAATTTCCTTCTCTTTTCAGATGGTTTTGTTATTAGATATCAGGAAGATCAGAAATCCCAGATCGCAACCTATCATAAGAAAGCCAAAAATAGTAAGAGAAAAAAAAGAAAAACAAAAAAAAATAGTATAACTTTTTGATTTCTTGTATTATTTCCCATTCGCATAAACTTCTGTAATCATAGTTTTTATAGTTTTTATGCATTCTTTCTCTTATTTGCTTTTATAATTTTTATGTAAAATTTTATTTAATTCTACACTACAACATATTGTGATCTGTCATGCAAAACTGATTGCTAAAATATATTAAACTTGCGGAATTTGTGCTGATTATCTTTTACTATTAATATTCAAAGCTTGGTGTTCTCTCAGTCTTAAGCTTAGCATACTCAAACTTACGCTGGTTTTCTAATCTAAAAACTTAGCTTTTTCTTGTTTGAAGAATCAATCCCAGATTCATTTTTGGTAATAATTTTTAACTTTATAATTATTTTAAAATGTAGTATATATGGGACCTTTGCAATAGAAAGATAATGTTAAATCTGAATATATTTGGCTAAAAATCATTGATTTTAGCAAAGGTTCCATAAGATCTATTACTCGTCTACATGTTACTCAAGTAAACTGCTACCGAATAATACTACACATTTATCTTGTTCTGGAAGATCATGAAATATTAGTCTCGTTTATTCAGAAAAAGTGAGTAAAGTGAGTATATGTACTAATAAAGGATAGCTTATATTAAGCTTCAAGCAGTTACTGCGAGAAATGGAGATATTGTCATGTAAATAAATTGGTTAGTATAATAACAGCATGATGTAGCATGCAAAAAATGAATACAAGTCAGCGTGATACATTCTATACTAATTATAGCGGTATAATAAAATATTTTTCTCACATTTGTCTGGAAAAAAAACGAGTTTTTTTCGAATGTATAATTTTCCCCAGCGTAAACCAATAAAAAAGGGGGGTCCTTAATTATATTTCTTATATAAATATTAATAATTGGAATGTAATTTTTAGCTATATATATATATTAAATATATAACTGTTTTAATCAATTAACTTTTTTTTTTTTAAAACTTTTATTGATATTTTTAATAATTAGATATTTATTTCTCTGTAGCTGCAAAATATGACATAATATATACTCTATTCTTAAATAAATATGAAAATTAAAAATCTCTGCTTTAACATTTAGAACATCAGCAATTTGTTGGAAATTCTTTGTTTTTAAATTTATGATGCAGAACGTTTAATGCGTCTTATTGTAAAAATCCCAGTTCTTGTATTTTCCTTATAAATGAAAGGCTGAGAAAATACAGGCTTTGATTGGAAAGATAGTAGAATTCATTTAACTCAAATGTAAAACTTATTATGCTACTTGCTGATCCTTGTCCATCAAAAATAATAAATTGCCAGCGTTTTTAACGACAACACAATTGAGGAGTTGTTTGAAAATATCCACCATTTTGCCACATGCACATCTCTAACTGATATCGTTTCCATCATTTCATCATTTCTTAGGAGCTTACGAAAAAGGTAATACCACGTGCAAAATTATTCTCACAATAACGTAATTCATATATCGTTTATGTGATTATATAAACTCCTCAATTTCCACTACACTTCTTTCGACGACTTACTCTATCTAATATCAGATAATACTGAGTAGATTGTGACTGTTGAGTCTACTGTTTCTGTATGGGGATCGGTTATGTTCTTGCTTGCAGTCGAAGTAAAAATTAGTTTTATGCTTGTTGTTTTATGTGCTAGTAGTAGAAGAATATCCATTACGCCATATACGTCGCGGACTAAAAGTTAGTGATAGAAAAGGCTGAATAGTCAATACGTTAGAGGAAAATGTATTTTCTAATAGGAAGGACGTTAATGCTCTATCTCTACTACTGAGTGTGTATAGACGCCTTGGCATTTATAGTTGAGGTTGCACATGATTATTTTTGTTTCTGTTACTCACCATTGTTTAATTATTTAAACTTTTTCAATAGAGCTAATGATGGAAAGACCAAAACATAAACTAGCTTAAATCCAACGAAGGAACGAACAAACACGAGCTACCCTTCCTTAGCAAAAGAAACAATGCACCTTTTTGTTTAAATCCGTGAAATCCTTTCTATCAATAGTTTTAAGAGTCGTCTGAACAAAGAATTGTCGAGATCGTGCCTGTTATTTGATTCAAAATAATTTATAACCTCTGTAGCAAATTCTTTAAAAAAAAAAAAATCGTAGTAAAATAAATTTTTTAAAATAGTTTTTTTAAAAAAAATTCGTCCCCACCGTAGTTAAAATAAATTTAAAAAAAAAATTAAAATCTTTATTAAATAAATTCTAAAAAAAAAAAAAGTTGATTTTGATGAAATTTAATTATCACGAAAATGAGTTTTTTTTTTTTAAGAATAGCTGTTTATTTTAAGATATTATAGATGGAAAGAAATAGTGATTTTTCAAAATAATTTGTAAAAATTTCCGCAGTATTGTCCACGCCAACTTTCCCTGCATAACCTTCAAAAAATGCACGAAATTTCACGTGATATAATTTGTCACAGTGTCACTTTCTCCGCATTTCATTTTTACCAAGTATTATGAGGACTTAGAATTTTTCAGTAAACAGGTACAGTACATCAAATATAATGTAGACACTAAAAGGCTTTCCTTGATAAATTTCTTTTTTTTTTCGTGATGAAGAACTTTTTATTGGAAAACAATTTATTTTTAATTTGTAGATAAATAAAAAAAAAAAGAAAATTATAATATATAAAATATATTCAAATTTCTAAATATACGTCGTAAAACAGTGGATTAAAATTTTAGATTAAAATAGACATGAACGCTAAAATACAAAAATACGATAAAAAAACCTATTTATAAGAGCAGACAATATTCTATGTAACATTTTATATGATTTTGTGGTACTATTTATATCATTTTGTTATATTATGTGTTTTTACCATACGAAATATCGAACAAAAAACCTCCCCAATTGACACTGGCAAAAATTCTGCAGCGTGGGCATTTATTACAAAATTTTGTGATTTGAGATATTTTGAGGAATGCCTTCCTTTGGTGGAGATCTTATGTATATTACTAAACTAGGGAACGGTTTCGGAAACCGTTGTTAAGTCCGGAGCACAAGTGCGGACAGATGGACATTTTCATTACTATCGCTCAGGTGCCTGTATTCGAAATGGACGTTTTTCGATTCGAATCTATACATAAGGTTGCGATAGAAGTTGATTCCGGCGAACAAATAGAAAAGATACGAACTAGCGCATTTGTACTTTAAAACATTCAGTTAACCATCTAGTGTTGCGTGTACTACGATTTGACTTTATTAAGATAATTATTATCCATTTCTAACTCATATTGCGTAACAAAATGGATTGTTTTGATTGCTTTGGTTTAAACCAGACAACATAGAATCCATATATATTATTGTCCTAAGTGAAATGTATCATCCAATCAATTATTCGCGTAGATATGAAATCAGATATCAGAAATCTATATTAATAGGATTTAAAGCTCATTATGTTTAAGTCTTTTATTTTTTCGCTCATATTTTCTTTTTTTACAAGACCTCCACACATAGCGATAGGTTATTTTACAATATTATTCGTACAAAAGATACACGTAATGGCAGTGGAAGTAATTTAAATTTTCTATTACAATTATAATTAGTGAATAAGATTAAGTAAATATTAACACATGAATGTATGGGTAGTACTATATACCTTTATAACATCCTTCTTTAACCCTTTGAACACAAGGATAAAAAAAAAAAAAAAATCGAGAATTAAACAGTGAACGTTAATATTACATACACTAAGTAATCTTAATTGTCGAATAATCCCAAGATAATAACAGATTGACAATTGTAGTCGAACCTCTAGAAACATGCAATGAACCAAGCTAATCGTATTTGTTAATCTGCACTCTAGCATTTCCAATTAATATCTCGTCGGGGTCTATAGAAACTAAAGTTCCAGCAGCTAATCGAGCCAAAAATCCATTAACAATTTCAAATAGTTATTCGATCCTTCTCTTTCTGAACCGACTGGAGCAGTAACAACCAAAGTAGGGAAATATGAATTCATTGAATTAAGCAAATTTTCTGTTATATCACATATGCGATTCTAAAAAATAAAAAAAAAAATTTTAGATTTAAAAATTTTTATCCCACATCAAATTACATTAATAAAATTTGAAAATTTAATTATTACCTGATTACAAGACGCGTCAATAATAGACTATAATATTTAATAGAAAATTTTTTAATTAAAGCGCAAAACAAAGATATTAGCGAACTGTTAGGTAACATAAGTTCTGAAAAATTACTTTACATATTTCCTACGCTTCTTACACTAACATTTATTTTTAGCCCTGAGTTGTTTTTTTCCTTTATCATTTCCAGGTAAAGTTTCTCGAGATCCTTTTCCTTTGCTGTAGGTTGTTTTAAATCTTAACATTTTTAAAGCGTTCCCTTGATAATTTCCAGTAATGTCATGTTTTGAGCTTGATTTTGTTAATTATGACCAGGTTTCTTAATGCGATGAGCATTATGAAGATCATTATCAGTTTTCAATCAATTTAGCTTGTGATATATTATATTATTCTTTTGAATCTAAATTATAATCGTTTCTGATTCCAAATTTCATGCTTGTAAGTCTGAAAATATAAATACCTCATTATAAATAGAAAAATTAATAACCCCGAGAATCGATTATATTTTAATTAATAAATTTTACAAATAAATTTTATGTCCTGTTCCATTTTTGATCCTATCACGGGAGACTTAAAAAAGACGTGATGATAATTGACAAAATAAATATGATCTACGATTTTGATAGTTGTCTTTATTGTAGCATTCTTTTTATTATTAGAAAAAAAATAACGTTAATTAAAGCTAAACTTTATATCAGAGGCCTTACTTAAGCTTTAAGCTTTTTCAATCTCTTTTTATAAAAAGCGTATACTCGTCACGAATAGTGAATTGTTAAGAAGATGTCTGATTTAAATCGACAAGAAAATAAACAAAAAGGGTACCTATCTTATAGTTGATAAAGTTTCATTAGATATACTTCAAAAAGTGCGGATTACTGAACAAATTTTGTTCTTAAACAGATTGAAACAAGATGATTTTCGAAAATTGTTGCAAACGCCTCGACCGGGAGATGCACCGTCTAAGGGAATCTTAGGAATGGCAACTCCAAGACAAAGAGTACCGCAAACTCCGTAAGACATTTTACAAGCATTTTACACTTTCGGATTTATATTAACTTGAAACTTTTCTCTTTTTAGAAAACCCGGTGGAACCGGAGCATTTGCCAAACCTGAAGCACCAGCTTCTAAATCAAAGAAAAAGTTAATCTCGAAAATCATTAATTTTTTTTAATTTCGATTTATCTAACAATCTTTACTTACGCTCTTAATTTTTTCTATTGTGATAGATATAAGAGACCTGAAACTTCAGAAGAAAAGTCTTCTGATAATAAATATCGTGATCGAGCTGCTGAACGTCGTACAGGAGCGAATCCCGATTATCAAGAAACAGAACAAATTCTTAAAGCTTTAAACAATAGCGAAACATTAGAAGCAAAATTAGTTTATGAACAATCAAAATATCTTGGTGGTGATTCTGAATATACACATTTAGTCAAAGGTCTCGATTTTGCATTACTTAATAAAGTCCGTAATGAGATACAAAGAGGTGATGATCAAAATGACGAAGAATTAGAACATGTACTACTAGAAAGAATCAAAGAGGAATCTCAAGAAATACCAAATATAAATAGCAAAATGGCACAGAATATTTATGATATTGCTGTGGTAGATGCAAAGAAGAAACCTCCAAGGATTAATGAACTATTTGTTGCTGGTCGTATGGCTTATGTATTTGAATTAGCGGATGAGAATGGATTTTATGGTGATCCATTTGCTATTTCAACGACTGTCATAAGAAGTAAAGCGGATATCGCAGATAGTTCTAGATCCGATAAATCTACAAATGATTTCGTGATAGATAGGATATCTAGAGTTATGGCTTATGTACGGAAAGGTGATCATGATGGAAGTTCAGAGGTGAAGGATAAAAAATTAAAGAAAAAGGTTAAAGAAAAACAACCCGAAATAGTTGCTCCGGTAAAATATGCGGCTATTGATGAATCTGAAGATATATTCGAGGAAGCTGGAAGAGACTATACAGCAGTTCCTGATGAACCATCTGTAGATGAGAATAAGAAAGAAGAGGATATACCAATGATTGGACCTATTCGTCCACCATCTCAGTCAGTTGAGGTAGATACTCCGAAGGGTTACTTTAAGGCATCACATGTGGATAATGACGCTATGGATGTTGATGATGAGGAACCGAGAAATGAAGATTTAAAGACTTTAATAAATAAAGTAGCCTCTGCTAGTGGAATAAACCAAATCGAGGATACTGTAAAGAGTTCTGAAACGTCGGATAATAACAAATCTTCAGTGAAGAGCGAATTAAATAAGAAGAGGTTGTATGATTATGACGGTTATGAAGGAAATTATTCTACTTATGGGCTTGGGTTGAGTAGTTTAAGCAGTGAAGGTACAAGGAAAAATGCGTACGATTCTGGACATGAGGATTCTGATTCTGAAGGAGAAGTGCACACCATAAGAGATCAAGGCGTTGCCAAGAATAAAAAGGCACAATTATCACGATGGGATTTTGATACAGAAGAAGAATGGTTATCATACAAGGTATGCTATATGTCTGCGGGCCAATTCCTATTATTTGTTTACAATTTCATTAACTGTCAAGGTTGAATGTTTTATTTTTAGGATAATGTTACAGCAATGCCTAAATCGGCATTCCAATTTGGAGTCAAGAAAACTGATGGACGTAAAACGCGTAGAAGTGGTAAAGATTTATCAGAGAAACAAAAATTGGATAGGGATTGGCAAAAGATTAGTAAAATAATGGAACAAAAATATGGAGATGGTGATGAAGGCAGTTCCTCAAAAAAGAAAGCAAAGCATGAATAATTTTGTCCTTTTAATGTGTTTAATTTTATTATCATTAAAAAAAAAAAAAAAAAAAGGAAGATTTTAATAATAAAAATCAAAAGAGAGATATATATTTATATTTATTACAATGTTCATTCAATCTCATACTTTTTAATTCACTTGTTGAACCCAAACCTTGACAGTCGGATCAGGTCTAAGAGAAATTGCCAATTTTTTTTTCACTTCGAAACCCTCGATTTTTGTAAATTTGAAGTTTCTTATTAAAATTGCCAACATAACCTTAATTTCACTTAAAGCTAATTTACTACCAATACAAGAACGATGACCCGTCAAGAACGGAATGTAAGTATAATTCGTTTGAATTGAGGTGAGATTTGGATCTAGCCAACGCGAAGGTTTAAATATGGACGCGTCGGATCCCCATATTGAAGGAAGATGATGAATTGTGTTTATAAAAATAAATACTGGTGTATCCTATGATATAAAGAGAATGAGATGAATTTGTGTTTAAGAGAGAAAAAATTTCTTAAGAGTGTAATTTATTATTTACCTTCGGAATTGTGTATCCATTGATGACATCATCTTCTTTCGATGTACGTACAGTCAGTGGAACTAACAAGACAAGAATATACATAAGTTACTTCTTTTTTTTACCCCCCCCCAATTTTAAGACAATCTACCTGGAGGATTTATTCTCAGAGTTTCTTTAACAACACAATTCAAGAATTCCAAAGAATTTATTTGATCAAAGGTAGGGATAAAATCTTTATCCGGAAAAGCTTTTAATAATTCGCTTCTAAGGACACTTTGTGAATCAATATCTTGCGAAAGAAAATGTAAGGCCCATGCAACAGCAACACTAGTAGTCTCATGACCAGCAGCCAAGAAAGTCATTATTTGATTTTTAATTTCATGTTTAGTCATTTTATCTTCTTTTATAGTAGTTAGTTCATTTTGTTTAATTAAGATCGTCAATAAATCATTTCCTTCCAATTCACCAAGCTTTGCTTTTTCTAACTTTTCTGTAACAAGTTTAGTAGAAACTTGATCAATGATACGTGATGCTTCTCTTTTACGAATATTATATTCTGTTGGAAGTTTGTCTATTAAAGGAATATAATTTGATAAGAGACGGGTAAATATACTACGGCGATTTTCGGGAATGAATACCATTGTGTAAGCTTTGGCTAATTCGTTCTCGGAAGTAAGAGAATTGAATTCAAAATTAAACCCTTATTAATTACAAAGAAAGTACGTTGGTGAATTCATTCGTGATGTGATGCGAAAACAAATTGTTTAAATGAGATGTGTCTATTTACCAACTAAACCTATGACATCCAAAGTTGCCTTTGATAAGTAAGGCATGATATCGATTTGTACTTTTTCATTATCGCCAATTTCTTTTATCCATAAATCTTTCATTATATTGACAACCTTATAAAAAGCTGGCATCATTTCCTAATGAAAATTTGAAAAAAAAAAGGAAAATTTTTAACAATCTCCTAGAATTGTCTAGTTTATTCCTTATTCCTACCTTAATATTAGTAAAGCTGAAAGCAGGATTCATAATTTTACGTTGCTTTTTATGTACATCACCCTCGGAAAATAGTATTCCACTTCCCAAAAAAGGCTTTAATTCTTTGATAAAACCAGGTGGTTTAGGATAATCATAAGAAGTCATAACACGCTGAAGAGCTTTAGCATCTGTCATGAATATTCTCTGTTTATTAAATAATCCTCTATACATTACCACACCACCATACTTTTCCGTCCATGCAATATGTGGAATTCCTACTTCTAATTTAATTATCTGTATCAGATTACCAAGAAGAAAATTATCTGGTGGCGGACCTGGAATTTTACATAATGGTGAAAGGTAAAGTGGATATATGTAAGCTTTGTAGGAAAGGTAGCTTATTAAAGATGTAATTAGGAAGATTAGTGGCAATGAATCAATCATTTTGTTTTTGCGTCTTGTAATGAAAATTCGATGAAAATTTATAAGGAAAATCAAAACCCCTTTATTCTATTTTTATGGTTAAATTAAACCCCTAAATTCACTTCAAAGGGATTTCTTGCAGCTGAAAGATTACCGGTAAGTTATCCATTTGGTCAAACCAATAATTTCTGTTCGGACGTCATATATTGAATTTATTAAAAAATATATAAATAATTTCTTTAAAAGTAAAAAGATTTTCCGAACTGAGAATCGTAAGATCATTGAATTAATTTGATCGGATTCAATAACCAAGTATTAAATTAAACCACATAATAATCCTTGACGCCTTTCTAAATATTGAAATTCAAGAAAAATAGTCTTATTTATCTTTATTCTTGCGACAAAAAATACGCAGTATTATCAGTTACCTATACCAAACGATTTTGATAAAGATGTATTTTTACAAATTGCAATATCAAAAAGTAGTGACGCCATATAATGCAAAACTCGTTGGATCCGCAGTAAAATCGCTTTTATATAACCCTTCAACTTTGCTGCGAATGCTTCAAAAGAGCAAGGATGCAGCATAGATAACGCTCTTTAAAAGATTTATTCGTTAATCAATTGCTTACGATCATTACGAATCAAGATAAATTGGACTACGGTTAAGAAGAAATGAATTGTAATAATTAAAATCTATATAAGTTTTCGACAATATAAATAAAGGTTCGTTGTTGATTTTTTTTGATTACAACACACATTAATTCTTTCTTGTGCCTAATAAGACGAACCTAACAGGAATAAAACATTTCCCGATAAAGTAATTAAATATATGTATTTGTTGTAAAACCGATATAATTTTATTTGGTACGGGCCTCGCTGATGTACTGCTGATGTACTTGTTGGCGGTGCTCACTGTGTAATGTTTTAAAAAATCCAGAATCTATTAGTGGTCCATTGGTGCTGCCTGTTCTTCCTTGGGAGTAATTAACCACGGAAATTACTCGCCCAAGCCATTTTTTTTTTATTTTATTTAAACACCGTAACGGACGATTCCAAAAATTTTTGATCACGCTAACGCTACCGACAACGAAACGAAGTTGTGCGGTTAATAGGTTATTATAATAGTCAATAAATAGAGACAATTTGTAAAAAATTACTCTGTATCGTGTTTTTGTTATCAGAGCCAACGCTATTTAAAAGATTACACTTGCTAATGAAAGAATAGGAATTAGAAATGTTAATGAAAGAATAAGAATTAGAAATATTAATGAACGAATAGGAATTAGAAATATTAATGAAAGAATAGGAATTAGAAATATTAATGAACGAATAGGAATTAGAAATATTAATGAAGAAATAGGAATTGGAAATATAAAGAAATAAGAAGAATGATCTAACAGAATTGATTGACCTTAAAAATTATATAAAGGTAGTAATTTTAATATGTAAATCATTATTCACTCAGACAATGTCTTTAACAACAAAGTTGACTCCTTGGCTCAATCTTGTCAGCACTCAACTGCCTTTCAACTCAACACTTATAATGCTCCCAGGTGTTACTTTACACATTATGATTCTACCATCATTGTTTCCATCTGGCAGTTCATTAAGAACATCTCTCATGAATCATCTATTTCCAATCTAATTAGACTGAATGTTTTGTTTAAACAATCACAAATTTATTAAACAAATTGGTTTATCACATTGTTCACACTCAGAAATAATACTACCCCTCACATCATATCTTATACTGCCTCCTTTCTAAGAAAAATGAAATATCAAAAACTTTTGGAGATGATACCTACTTTTGAAATGCTCAAGAAAAGACACCTGTCACTTTATTCTTCATCACTTTTGTGCCTAAGATATGACGTAAACTATAAAGATTTTTATCATATTTAAATATTTTCTGTTGTTAACTATCAAATAAATACTATTATTAAATAATCAAAAGATCATCTCAAATTCATTATCAATGCACAAGATTATGAAATTGAATAGCTTGACTGTTAAATATTATCTACCTACAATTCTACTTTCTTCTTCGCTCTCATTAAAGAATTATTTCTAATTATCTTTTTAATTTCATTTGTAATAAATTAACTTTCCAATTCCTAATCACTGCTGCTTATTTCTCTTTTATGTACTTTGTATTTAAAATAACTCATAATATTTAAAAAGATCGTTATTTGATCATTCATAACTTCAAAAAATCCTCTGATATTAATCTAAATTCTAAATTAAAAAACTTCTCTTTTTCTGATTACACTTTTTTTATCGAACTTTTCATCTATCTCAAACAGATTAAATTTTATTAATGTCATGAAATATTTAAGATTCTATTGGTTAAATTATTAGTATAATAGTGATTACATCCTTCTTTTCTTTTTTATATGTAATATTTTCCAAAAAGTAATAGTCTTAGCTTAGGTTAAATTTAATTTCTAAAAGTGCTAGATTAGTATTCTTTTCTTTAATTTTAGATTTTTTTAACAAGATTTTTGTAATTTCTTCTTGATTTTTGTATTTTAATTTTTTAATTTACTCTTATTATAATAAAGATTTTGTGAAATTACTACATTTTTTTTAAAAAAAAAATGTAAATTAATTATTTATATAATTCTAATTTTATAATAAATAAGTAATATTATATTAAAATGATATATTTGTTAATATATTTTAAATGATATTAATAATTGATTATTTTATAAAAAATAAAATATAAGTAAAGAAAATAATAAAAATGTTAATAATTAAAAGATGATTTTAAAATAATTGAATAGAATGTCTATAAAAAAAAAAAAAAAAAAAAAAAAAAAAAAAAAAAAAAAAAAAAAAAAAAATAAAAATAAAAAAAAAAAAAAAAAAAAAAAAAAAATAAAAATTAAAATAAAAATAAAATAAAAAAATAAAATAAAATAAAAATAAAATAAAATAAATTTCT